AAGAAGAATAAGTCACCAGTGCCCAGATTGAGCTGTTTTTTTTTTCTTTTTTGTCGGTCGTGGGGCTTGAACTCTGGGCCTGGGCGCTGTCCCTCAGCTCTTCAGCTCAAGGCGAGTGCTCTACCACTTGAGCTACAGTCCCACTTCGGTTTTCTGGTGGTTTTATTGGAGATAGGAGTCTCAGAGCACTCTACCACTTGAGCTACAGCCCAATTCCGGTTTTCTGGTGGTTTTATTGGAGATAGGAGTCTCACGGTCTTTCCTGCCCGGGCTGGCTTTGAACCGAGATCCTCAGATCTCAGCCTCCTGAGTAGCTAGGATTACAGGCGTGAGCCACCAGCGCCCGGCTGATTGAGCTGGTTTTTAGCAGTGGGATGGAGGCTTGTCACTGGAAAAACCAAGCTATGATTAGTATTTTGGGGCTTTCAGCCCAACTCCACATCTTCCAGGAAAGAGAAGGGGATGGAGATTGAATAATTGAATTAAGATGTGATGAAATCTTCATAAAAATCGCTCTACTACAGGGTTCAGCAAGCTTGTGTATGTGCTCGTGCACACACACATGCATGTGCAGGTGCGTGCTGGCTTATGGGCTCAAAACTGTGTGCACGTGAGCCAGTCTGGGGGCTTTTTTTGTGCTGAGCGTAGGCTCTGTCTCTGGAGTCTTTTTGCTCACAGCTCCATTTCCAGCCTTTTTTCTTTTCTTTTCTTTTTTTGTTGTTGTCATGGGACCTGAACTCTGGGCCTGGGCTCTGTCCCTCAGCTCTTCAGCTCAAGGCTAGTGCTCTACCACTTGAGCCACAGTGCCACTTGCAGCTTTTTCTGCTTATGTGGTACTGAGGAATCAAACCCAGTGCCTCATGCATGCAAGGCAAGTACTCTACCACTGAGCCACATTCCCAGCCCTCCAGCTTTTTGGTGATTATAACTGGAGATAAGAGTCTCATAGACTTTTCTGCCCTATTGTCCTTGTTCTGTGATTCTCAGATCTCAGCCTCCTGATACCAAGGATTATAAGCATAAGCTACTTGTGCCTGGCTTCTGACTGAGAAGGGTAGTATACCTGGAAAGAGTATAGACACTCTATATTTCTTTCTCACATGCATCCTTTATAATAAACTAGTAATTATAAGTGTTTTCTTGAGTTCTGTGAGCCATTCTAGGAAATGATTGAGCCTGACCTGCAGCTGGTTGGTCAAATAGTATCTGAAGCAAGAATGGTCTTGTAAGACTGAACCTGTTACCGGTGGCCTTTGACCCTAATTCCAGAATTGAATTGAATTATACAACACTTAGGTGATATCAGAGAATTGGTGTGTGAGGGGGAAATCCTACATACCTGGTATCAGAAGTGAAGTGTTCTATGTTCAGAGTTCAAGATATTTATTATCAGATAAAACATTTGGGTTTTCCTATTAAATTTCTCTTCCCTCAATCTTTGGCAGAAACTTCTTGCTTTCTGTTTCTATTGGTTGAATAGAAATGAATGTAATATCAATCCTGTACCTGGCTTGTTTGCTTAACAAAATATTTTTAAGGTTCTTCTATGTTGCATATAACAATTTCCTTCTTTGTAGTGTGTGTATATACCAACTACATTTTCTTTACTCATTCATCCGTGAATAGACATTTAGGTTATTTACATATTTTGGCTATTGTGGATAGTCCTGCAGCAAACATGGGGATACATATATCTCCTTAATATTTGAATTTCAGTTCTTTTGGATTAATACCTAGAAGTGAGATTGCTGATATTATGTACACTCTGTAAAGAAATGGAAAGAGTAGTGAGCTGGGAGTGTGGCTCAAGACTCTACATTTTATATTTAAAGCTAGTTGATATTCTGGAAGGGGCAAAAACCCTAGGAACAGTAAAAAGGATCAATGGTTACAGATCAGGGCAAGGAGGAAGGATGAGTAGGTGAAGTACAACTAATTTTTTTTTAGAGTGGTGAAATTATTCTGTATGATACTGCAATGGTAGATACATGGCATTGTGCATTTGTCAAGGTCCATAGACCTGAATACAAACAAAGAATGAGCCTTAATATAAACTGAGGAGTTCAGTGATTCCAGGCATCGTTCACATTGTAGAGTGAAGTATCAAATGATGTGATAGAAACAAGAATGTAGGTAATTTTAGATTGGGCACTTAAGACAGACCTCTCTGAGGTGCTAACATTCCTAGCAGAGGGAGCAGGTAGCACAGTCCTTAGGACCCAAATGATTTTAATGTTTTTGGAAAATAGAAAACTAGAGTTGGAGTGGGTGAATGGGAAAATACGGTGAAAGAGGGATCAGAGCATCAGTCATGGACAGAATAGAATGAAGCATCTATAAATGGATGGTAAGGAGTTTGGATGATTTTTAAAGTGAGATAGAAGGTTCGTGGGTATTTAAAGCAGAGTAGAACATGATCTAGCTTACTTTTGAAGCTTTTGTGGGGGGCTGGGGCTTGAACTTTGAATTCAACATAAACTTGGTCACCTCTTTTTTTTTTTTATTGTGAAAATACTGTACACAGGGGTTACAATTACATGGGCAAGGTAATGAGTACATTTCTTTCTTTTCTTTTTTCTTTTTGTCAGTCATAGGACTGAACTCTGGGCCTGGGCACTGTCCCTCAGCTCTTCAGCTCAAGGCGAGCACTCTACCACTTGAGCTACAGCGCCACTTCCGGTTTGTTCTGGTGGTTTATTGGAGATATGAGTCTCACGGTCTCTCCTGCCTGGGCTGGCTTTGAACCGCGATCCTCAGATCTCAGCCTCCTGAGTAGCTAGGATTACAGGCGTGAGCCACCAGCGCCTGGCCAAACTTGGCCACTTCTTGAGCCATGACTACACTTCAAACAATTTACTGGTTAACTGGAGATAAGATTTTCTCAGATTTGTTTGCTTGGGCTGACTCTGAACAATGATCCTCAGATCTCAGCCTTCTGAGTAGCTAACATTGTAAGCATGAGCCACACCAGTGCATAGCTATGTTTTGTTTATTTAAAATACTGCCATGGGCTGGGAATATGGCTTAGCCTCAGTGCTTGCCTAGCATGCATGAAGCCCTGGGTTTGATTCCTCAGTGCCAAAGAAACAGAAAAAGCCAGAAGTGGCACTGTGGCTCAAGTGCTAGAATGCTAGCCTTGAGCAAAAAAGAAACTCAGGGACAGTGCCCAAGCCCTGAGTTCAAACCCCAGGACTGGCAAAAAAAAAAAAAAAGTAATAATACTGCCAGGACCAGAGTTTACAAGATTACACTTATAATCCTAGCTAGTCAGAAGGCTAAGATAACAAACCAGCTTAGGCCCAGAGCTGTGGCTATTGTGCAAATGTTGTACTGTCCCTGACTCAGGGACAGCACCCAGGCCCTGAGTTCAAGCCCCAAGACTGGCCAAAAAAAAAAGAGAAAAAAGAATAAAAGAAATCTATTGTGTTTTTGGCAAAGCACCTTACAATATACCACAGTGGTTCTCTATAATTATTGGGAAAGAAATGATTGTTATTATTAGTGTGTGCATGCGTGAGTGTGCCTGTGTGTGGGCTGGTCCTAGGACTTCAACTCTAAGCTTGTATACTGTCCCTGAGCTTTTTTTTAGCACCCTACCACTTGAGCCTTAGCCACTTCCAGCCTTTTCTGAATAGTTTATTGGAGATAAGAGTCTCATGGACTTTCCTGCCCAGGCTGGCTTGGAACTGTGGTCCTCAGATCTCAGCCTCTGGAGTAGCTAGGATTATAGGTGTGAGCCACCAAGTGCCTGACTAATGTATATATTTTCTATTCAAAATAAAAATATTCTTCTTAGTATATTTTAGGTTATAAAACATGTGAAATAGTAACAATGTAAATAAAAGGAGGTGAAGGAAAAATGTATCACAGTACGGAAATGAGCTAGTCAGTATGGTTGAGGTCAGATTTTTAGCTTTGGGCATTTTCATGTGTAATCAAAGGGTGAAAGAAGTTGGATTTTATAAAATTTATTTCAGTAGGAATTATTCCATTGTATTTTGGCAGACCTGGAAGGCATCAAGATATTTAAAGAAGTTTTAGCCAGGAGTGATGGCTCATGCCTGTAATCCTAGCTACTCAGGAGGCTGAGATCTGAGGATTGCAGTTCAAAGCCATCCCGGACAGAAAAGGCCAAGACTCTTATCTCCAGTAAGCCACTCAGAAAACAGGAAGTGGTGCTGTGGCTCAAGTGGTAGAGTGTTCACCATGAGCCAAAGAGCTTAGGGACAGCACCCAGGCCCAGAGTTCAAGCCCCATGACTAAAAAAAAAAAAAAAAAAAGTTGGGCACCAGTGGCTCACACCTATAATTCTAGCTACTTAGGAGGCTGAGATCTGAGAATTGTGGTTTAAAGCCAGGCTGAGCAGAAAACCCCTGTGAGACTCTTCTCTCCAATTAACCACTCAAAAGCCAGTGATGGCATTGTGATTCAAAGTGGCAGAGCGTTAACCTTGAGCAAAAGCACTCAGGAACAGTGCCCAAGCCCTGAGTTCAAGCCCCACAATGACAAAAAGAAAAGAAAAAGTTTTAGATATGTGTGTGTGTGGATGGATGGATGGATGGATAGATAGATAGATAGATAGATAGATAGATAGATAGATAGATAGATAGAGTGGGCTGTGGTGCTTAAACTCTGGGCCTGGGTGCTGTACCTCAGCTCAAGGCTGAAGGCTAGTACTCTACTACTTGAGCCACACCACCATAAGAATCTTATGGACTTTCCCACCTGAGATGGCTTTGAACTGGGATTCTCAGATCTCAGCCTCCTGACTGGCTCAGATTACAGGTGTGAGCCACTGACACCTAAGTATTAAATATTTTTATTGGTTAATTGGAGTAGAGTTTCCTGGACTTTTCTTCCCTGTCTGGCTTTGAACTTAGACAAATATCAGCCACCTGAGTAATAGGTTTACAACTATTAGCCACTGGTGCCTGGCTTTAATTGCATATTTTTCAAGTGAAAAATTTCCATGCTTATTGTATCTCCTTTGCCATGTTCAGGTTTGTTGTCCTGTTGTCTTGTTGGTGGTATGTCTGACAGTGGATCACAGCTTGGTTCAATGGGTAGCCTGACCATGAAATCACAACTTCAGATCACTGGTAAGTCATCTTTTTTTTTTTCTTCTTCATGCTAGGGATTGGTATATCCTGAAAAGATAAAATACTTTACGCTCCTTCTATTCTCTCTTGCCCCAAGATTAAAAAATATTTATTTATTTATTTATTTTGTCGGTCATGGGGCTTGAACTCTGGGCTTGGGCACTGTCCCTCAGCTTTTCAGCTCAAAGTGAGTGCCCTACCACTTGAGCTACCGCGCCACTTCCGGTTTTCTAGTGGTTTATTTGAGATAGGAGTCTTATAGTCTTTCCTGCCATCTTTTCCTGCCCTGCCCAGGCTGGCTTTGAACTAAGATCCTCAGATCTCAGCCTCCTGAGTAGCTAGGATTATAGGTGTGAGCCACCGACGCCCAGCTAGAACAGTGTTTAGATATATAAAGATAACATTTTAGCCAAGCACGAGTGGCTCATGCTTGTAATCCTAGCTATTCACATGGCTGAGATCTGAGGATCATGATTTGAAGCCAGCTTGGGTAGGAAAGTAAGTGAGACTCTTATTTCCAGTTAACCACCGGAAAGCCAGAAGTGGAGCTGTGGTTCGGGTGGTAGAGTGGTAGACTTGAGCAAAAAATCCTCAAGAAAGTGCCCAGTGTTGGCTCTGAGTTCAAGTCTTTGAACTGGCGCGCGTGCGCGCGCGCGCACACACACACACAGACACACACACACCACAAAAATTACACACACACAAATGCGCGCGCGCACACACACATACACACACACCACAAAAATTATACACACACAAATTATCTTTTAATCCAGTGCCGAGACCCTAGGTTCAACCTCAGTACCAACACACACGCACACACAACATAAAAGCCAGAATTACACAACTAGCACCAGTTTATTTTAGTACATTTTTCATCACTCCCGAAAAGATCCTTATATCCATTATTTCATGCTCATTACCCTCAGGTACCAACAGCCTAAGCAATCACATGTCTACTTTTGTCTCTCAATTTTTCTATTCTGGATCTCTCGTGAATAGAATCACATAACTTGTGGCCTATTGTGTCTCTTATCACTTAGCAAGTTTTCAACACTCATCCCTGTAATAGCATATATCAGTACTTGATTTTTTTTCTTTTTTCTTTTTTTTGTGTGTGTGTGCTTGTACTAGTGGTAGAATACCAGCCCTGAGTGGAAAATGCTAAGGGACAGCACCTACACCTTGAGTTCAAGCCCCAGTATTGGCACCAAAGACAAAACAGAGACCAAACAAATAATAGATAATGGTTGTAATTAATTCTATAATTAATTCTGTTTTGTTTGTTTGTTTGTTTTGGGTCGGTCGTGGAGCTTGGGTACTGTCCCTGGGCTCTTCATCTGTCCCTTGAACTATAGCTCCACTTTGGTTTTTCTGGTGGTTAATTGGAGATAAAAGTCTCACGGACTTTCCTGCCTGGGCTGGCTTCAAATCATAATCCTCAGATCTCAGCCTCCTGAGTAGCTAGAATTACAGGCCTGAGCCACTGGCACGGGCTTGATTCTCTTTTTTCCAGTGGCTTTCCAATACACATATAATAAGACTCAAATTCCTAGAATGATGCTGGTGGCCCATACTTACAGTGCTGCCTATTTGAGGGGCTGAGCATAGGATGTGGTCTAAGGCCAGAGAAGTTTGTGAGACCCTCTTCCCAACCCATAGCTGATAGTGGTGCTTATCATTCTAGCTATGTGAAAGGCAGCGATTAGAAGGATCGTGATTCCAGGTAAGCCTGGACAGTAAAATTTGCAAAACTCTTTATCTCAGTGGAAGAAGCTAGGTGTGATGGTGCATACTTAGTACAGTGGAAAGTCTAAAACTGGTGGATCACAATTAGCTGTGTACCCCAGTAGGAAGTGAGACCCTATCTTAAGAAATAACCAATACAAAAAGGACATAGTTCAGAGGTAGAGTCCCTGTCTAGCAAGCAAAGGGCTATGAATTAAAACCCTAGTACCACCAGAAAACAAAACAACAATAAAAAAAGAACCCTAGGGACTGGGAAGGTGGCTCAGTGGTAGAGCGCTTGCCTTGTAGGCCTGAGGCCCTGGGTTC